TCTGAAGGGGCACTTGCACCCTGATGTTTATAGCAGCAATGTCCACAATAGCCAAACTATGGAAAGAGCCCAGATGTCTATCAATAGATGAAGAGATAAAGAAGAAAAAAAAAATCTTGCCATTTGCGACAACATGGATAGAACTAGAGGGTACTATGCTAAGAGAAATAAGTCAATCAGAGAAAGACAATTATCATATGATCTCACTGATATGACGAATTTGAGAAATAAGACAGAGGATCATAGGGGAAGGGAGGGAAGAATGAAACAAGACAAAACCAGAGAGGGAGACAAACCATAAGAGACTCAATCTCAGGAAGCAAACTGAGGGTTGCTAGAGTGGAGGGGGGTGAGAGGGATGGGGTGGCTGCGTGATGGACATGGGGGAGGGTATGTGCTATGGTGAGCACTGTGAATTGTGTAAGACTGATGAATCACAGACCTGTACCCCTGAAACAAGTAATGCATTATATGTTAATTTTTTTAAATGTTTTAAATGTAAAAAAAAACCATTTTATTACTTCCTTCTCTATCTTGTATGCCTTTTATTTCCTTCTCTCATCTTACTATGGCAGACACTTCCAGTATGATATTGAATAGGAGGGGTAATCAGAGGAGACATCTTTGCCTTGTTCACAGTAGGAATGGATCTAGTTTCTCATTATTAAGTTTTTGCATAACTTTTGCAGATGCTTCTTTATCAAGGTGAGGAAGTTCCCCTCCATTGCTTATTATCTGAGAGTTTTTGTCATGAATAGGTGTGAGATTTTGTCAAATGCTTTTTCTGCATCTATTGATGTGATTATATGCTTTTCCTTTTTTTAACCTTTGGTGTGACAGATTACATTAATTGATTTTTAGTGTTGAACCAGACTTGCATAACTGGAATAAATCCCATTTGCCCTTGTTATATAATTCTTTTTACACATTGTTGAATTTGAAAGGTCTGCAACTTTACCTGTAATGTCTTTATCTGGTTTTGTTATTAGTGCATCTTTCTCTATTGTTCTTCTGTTTTCAATTCCTTGATTTCTGCTGCAATTTTTTTCTTCTAGTTCCTTTAGGTTTGTATTGCTTTTTTTCTCTAGTTTTCTAAGGTAGAAGCTTAGAGCATTGATTTTAGATCTTTCTTCTTTTCTAATATATGCACTTAATACCATACATTTCCCTCTAAGCCTTGCTTTCACTGTAGCCCTCAAATTTTGGTAAGCTGTATTTTTTTCATTTGTTCAAGACATTTTTCATTTTCTTTTTGTTCAAAATATTTTTAAATTTCAGTTGAGATTTCTTCCTTGACTAATGTGTTATTTAGAAGTGTTTAAGCTCCAAATCTTTGGGAATTTTTCCATCTATCTTTTTGTTATTGACTTCTAGCTTAATTACATTGTATTTTGAAAGCATACTTTGTATGCGTTCTGTGTTTTTTTTTTAAATTTCTTAAGATGTGTTTTATGGCCAAGGATATGGTGTGTCATGGTCAATGTTCCATATGAACTTGAGAAGAATGTGTATTCTGCGGTTGTTGGATGAGATACTCTTTAAATGTCAATTGGAGACACTTGATTGGTGGTGCTGTTTAGTTCAATTATGTACTTACTGATTTTCTGCCTGCTGGATCTGTCAATTACTGAAAGAGGAGTTTTGAATTTTTTTTTTAGATTTTATTAATTTATTTGAGAGAGAGAGAGATAGAGATAGTAAGAGAGAGCACAAGTGGGGAGGAGAGGGAGAAGCAGGCTCCTTGCAGAGCAAGGGATCATGACCTGAGCCTAAGGCAGACGCTTAACCGACTGAGCCACCCAGAGTCCCGAGTTTTGAATTTCTAACTACACTAGTGGATTTTTCTATTTATCCTTGCAGTTTTAAAAAGACATATTTGTGGCAAAACTAGTTTTTAAAAAGCACAGGAATGGACACACGGATGCAAACACAGAATCAGGCCAGTGATTATGTGTAAGCAAGTGGGGATGGGGGAAGGAGAGGTGTAGGACATTTCTAAGGTATTGGTAACATTCTGATTCTAATCTAGATGATTAGTACACAGATGCTTATCTTAGTATTATTCTTTAAGTGTGTGTGTGTCGTATACTCTTTTGTATATATGATACATTAGTAATAAAATTATTAAATAAGTGGTATTTTAAAAGAAACACAAAGAAAACATGCATATATAGAGAATATCAGAGCTCCATTTTTTAAAAATACTGTCTTGGATGCCATAAAATACCATCCACATGATTGACTAATCTGGGTTTAGAAAAGGTTATCCTTATAAAAGATACATTTTGTGGTAAAACAAAAAAGCAAAATAGAAGAGATAGTTCTGGGCAGAACTTAAAAGACAGTGGAACATAAAGACAGGGAAGATAGAATGGGCACCCCAAGAGAGAGGAAGAACACACACAGTTCTGGTAGGCAAACAGGAAGAACACACCTGAAATATAATATGGCAAGTGAAATTAAATAGGAAAAAATATGGAAATTCCCTGAAAATCATTTGGAATAGCTTGAATTTTTTTCCTGGATATAATTAAGGGACCAGAGATGTTTCTAAGCAGAACATGACTTAATGAAATTCAGTTTAAAGGAGATAAATTAAAACATGGCAGATTAAATGCATTTATTTATCTCTGTTCTTTCCCATTATCTCACTAAGATAGTTGCAAGCCTACAAGGAGAAACGATGGGAAGGGAAGCAAGAACAGAAAGTAGAAAGCAGAGAGAGAAGTAGTATCTGACATAGAGCATGCAATTGTGTTAATTAAGAGCTTGCAGAGGGGGGTGCCTGGGTGACTCAGTCATTAAGCATCTGCCTTCAGCTCAGGTCATGATCCCAGGGTCCTGGGACCAAGCCCCGCATTAGGCTCCCTGCTTAGTGGGAAGCCTGCTTCTCCCTCTCCCACTCCCCCTGCTTGTGTTCCCTCTCTCGCTGTGTCTCTCTCTGTCAAATAAATAAATAAAATCTTAAAAAAAAAAGAGCTTGCAGAGGTAATTCTAAAGTGATGGGAACCCTCCAGTGTGCCTTCAGTCCTTTCCTCCAGCTCTGCTCCCTGAATGTGGAAACCTAGCATATATCCTCCTGGCAAGATAGAAGAGGATTTCTCTTTGCATTAACTGATCAGGACTACTTAAAAAAAACTTAAATTTGGAGTCAGAAGGGGAGAAGCACAATGGAGCACAAGAGGAGAGAGAAGTATCCCTAAGAACTGACCCAAAACTTGTTACAACTTCTCTCTTATATATTAAAGGAAAACCAAAGACTCCCAGAGAATTACAGAAAGCTTCCAACATCAATGTCAGACACCTAAATCAATAAAGAGAACAGTGGAACTCAGAGGAAAAACATAGCAGGGAGCAAAAGAAAAATCCAAAAAAGCATAAATAACATCTTCACAGAAATAGGAGAAGATATTATATACATAAAAGAAAACTATGATGTTATAAAATAGGAAAGAAGTAAGAAAAGAATTTTGGGAAGTGTATAATCACAATGAAAAAAAAAACCCTTGAAAACAAAGTAATAGATATGGAAAATTGAAATGCTCAGTATATCCTGACCAGGCCTTGAGTGTTGGCTCCTTTCTAGGCCTTGTAGATAAACAGTTCTCCATCCAAACAAAAGAGTCGCCAATACCTCCTTATAATGTGACTACACATATGTGAGGTTATCATATAGTGAGTGGACAGTGTAAAAAATGGTACTGATGATTGTAGAAACTATACTTGAAACATGTTATAGAGTCAGCAGTGTGGCTTGCAAAAACAGTAATTGCATTGCATTTCATGGTGGCATGGTTTAGGGCACAGAGGTTTGGTGACGACCCTACAACTGCCCAACATGGGTCCCCCTGAACTGCCAGGACCACATTCTGAGTGGGCAGAATGCCATCACCCAAGTATGTATACACTGAGGAAAGAGGACACTCAAGAGATATTTACTGAACATCTACAACCTGATGAGAAACTCTCCTTGGAATTTTTCATAACTTCTGAGATACATGGGAAAATCCTTATTTTCACAAACTGTATATCCACTCAAAAAATAGACCCAGCCCTGTCAAATTTTAGAATACCAAGAGAAAAAGGGAAGATCCTAAAACTTATAGAAAGGCAAACCATTTAAATAGCAAGTCAGTGTATCATCTGACTTTTCATTAGGAAACTTTAATACAAAAAGACTGGAGAAAAATGCCCTAAGATATCTGAAGTCTCTGCCTAGCCAATTTATCCAGCAGGTGTGTAAAATATTTTCAGATATTCAGGGTCTCAAAAATGTATGTTCTTATATACTTTCACAGAGAGTTACTAAAGAATGTGCTTTAGCAAAACAAGAAAGAGAAAAGCTCTGGATCCAGTAAATGGTGGCTTCAACTCAAAGAGTAATGCAGTGAAACAAGTACTAGATTACCTCTGCATTTACCACATGGAAAATATTGTGGAGCACCACATCACCTATTGGAACACTTAGGAAACAACAAATTTTCAAAATGAAATAATTATTAACTCTAGGAGAAATATCATGAATATATATGTATATATGAAAATGTAATTATAGTAAAATGACATACTAGTAAACAATATTTACATAGTAAAACAATGCAAAAACTATAGATTTAGCTAAACTCTGTGATACTGGGAGAAGAGGCATTGTATGGGTAGTTATATTTTATGAGAAATACATCTTCATCTGTCATATAAGAAGCCAATATATAATGTGTAAAAATCATATATTAAGAGAGAAGCATAAGAATATTTGAGAATTTGGAGACCATTGCAGATGAAATAGCTGTGTCAAGATTGTTTTCCTTTGGGAATAAGAGTGAAGAATGAGGAGAAATGGGGCAAAGGTAGCATTTTAGTGCTATTTGATTTGTTTAACCCAGATTTATGTTGATAAAAGTAAAAAATTTTTTTAAATGATTAATGTCAACAATGTACAAGATGGATGAGAGAAGAGAGATACCATTTTATTTTTCTATTTTCTATTTTTTTCTTCTTAGGACCTGGCATATTTTGATACCAATGACAACAGATGATGTGCTAAAGGAGATTAAAGGAAATCAAGTAGCTTTTCAAGATTGCTTTATTGCAGATTTTCTTTTCCTGCTGACCTTTCCTTTGTTGACAATACCTGAGATTCCTGGATTTTTACCAATCTCTTCACCACATGGTAGTCAGTTAATAGCAGCCTGGGCTGATTGTGTTCCTTCATCTGTTGTTGTGGTAGCCGATATGGAGACCTTTCAAACAAATGATTCATTCCGTACTTGGACCAGAATCAGAGTGCCTCCAAATATTTTGACTGAGGATGAAAGACACAGTGTGTCTGATGTAAGCCTATCACAGGATGGAATATTTTTTCTAATAAATGGTATTCTTTACATAAAAAGTTTTACTGGGTTCAAAAGACTGGGAATAAGTGAAAATCTTCCTGATAGTGGAATTATTGGCATTACAACAAGAAAATGGTGTTGGGTCAAATATTTATTAAAGGTTAGTAAAAGATTATGTATATTACACTTACACATTTAGATATATTTACCATATTATTTAATTCAGTGAAATATGAGACTATACTATACAGCTTTTTTGCAGAGTTATTTTATTTATGGTTGTAAATAAGTCCATCTTCCTAACCTAACTTTTCAGAGGCCTCGTTATAGAGATACACTTCCAGCAAAAGAAATAAAATACATATTGTGTATTATTATGCAGAGTCATTTAGCCATATTATGAGAGTTTTGTTTTACCTTGACATGGGCAAAAGGTCCAAAAAATTATTTTTCCCAAACAAAGATTCTATGTGCTCTCAAAAATGAATTAACTCCTCTTTTTGACAATATAGCGAATAAGATATCCTAAAGCTATTCCATTACAAAACACCTAAAATGTTGTGTAAAATTTTAAACTTTTGTAAAGCATATAGCTGGACCTGTATGGAAGTAGGGGAAATCCTGAGAGGAATGGGGTAGTCCTAGTCCTAGATCACTAATCTAGAGGCATAAGCCAATTCAAAAATCTTGGCTGCTGTAAGCCCATGTGCTGATCTTAGATATTTAGACCTCTGGTACTCGGACATAAGGCCTTGGGCCTGAGCATCTGATAAGAATTTTTTCATAAAACAAGAACCTTAAAAAATTTCCCCAACATAATTAAATCTATCTCAGCTTTAACTCTTAGAAGGAGAGAAAAGTCTGTCTTCAGAATTTGTGATCAGAATACTCATGAAAGAAATTGAGGAAGACACAAAGAAATGGAAAAACGTTCCATGCTCATGGATTGGAAGAACAAATATTGTGAAAATGTCTATGCTACCTAGAGCAATCTACACATTTAATGCAATCCCTATCAAAATACCACCAACTTTTTTCACAGAACTGGAACAAATAATCCTAAAATTTGTATGGAACCAGAAAAGACCCCAAATAGCCAGAGGAATGTTGAAAAGAAAAGCAAAGCTGGTGGCATCACAATTCCAGACTTCAAGCTCTTACAAAGCTATAATCATCAAGACAGTATGGTACTGGCACAAAAACAGACACATAGATCAGTGGAACAGAATAGAGAGCCCAGGCCCTCAACTCTATGGTCAACTAATCTTTGACAAAGCAGGAAAGAATGTCCAATGTCAAAAAGACAGTCTCTTCAACAAATGGTGTTGGGAAAATTGGACAGCCACATGCAGAAGAATGAAGCTGGACCATTTCCTTACACCACACACAAAAATAGACTCAAAATGGATGAAAGACCTAAATGTGAGACAGGAGTACATCAAAATCCTTTAGGAGAACAAAGGCAGCAATCTCTTCTACCTCAGCCACAGCAACTTCTTCCTAGAAACATCGCCAAAGGCAAGGGAAGCAAGGGCAAAAATGAACTATTGGGACTTCATCAAGATAAACAGCTTTTGCACAGCAAAGGAAACAGTCAACAAAACCAAAAGACAACTGACAGAATGGGAGAAGATATTTGCAAATGACAGATAAAGAGCTAGTATCCAAAATCTATAAAGAACTTATCAAACTCAACACCCAAAGATAATCCAATCAAGAAATGGGCAGAAGACATGAACAGACATTTCTGCAAAGAAGACATCCAAATGGCTAACAGACACATGAAAAAGTGCTCAACATCACTTGGCATCAGGGAAATACAAATCAAAACTTCAATGAGATACC